TATTCCATTAGGACAGACAGACAGGGAGAAAGTGGGATGTGATTGGTAACGGTCCTCGAGTCGGGACTTAAATGAGTTTATATGTACTTCGAGTATCAAGGAAACACATTTAAAAAAAAAAAACTTTTTATATGTTGTAACAAGTTGTACTACACTTGCTAACTATCCTAGAGAGATACTTTGACAGATTATGGTTATAATATTACAGTATACAGTGCTGCATATAAGTGGAGAAAGTGAAGTCTTCAATATGCCAAAAAAGCCAAGGATTTAAAAGGTCTGTACTGAGCGAGTGATGTAAGCATGTATATATCATTTGTAAATCAAAACTAAGCTTTGTCTAATAAGAGTGTTTGGGTCAGAACACGCAAGTACTTTATCCATGATTAATTTGATTTCTCTCTCGTCTGAGAAGAGCAGAGAACTTCCACGCGTCGATGCACTGCGAGAGCAGAATGTCTTCAGGGAAGAACTCGTCCACCTCAGGAGGAACGTCCAGACCTTTACCATCCATGTAGGGAGCAACCGTTTCTTTCAGACTGGAGGACAGACAGAAATCAATCAGTTATGACACAGCCGCATATACTCAGTTTAACAGAGGCAGTACAAACACAGGCTGGTAGGCTACATGTAAACGTGACAGTGGGGCTCAGACGAGGATCGGTTCCTCATAACCAGTCAGAAATTACATTAAGTAACATTTCATGAGCCTTGAGTACACAAAGACAGCTTCATTCCTGAAAGAACGATAACTTGCAGTTCACTGAGTCAGATGTTGATACAACTCTGACATTTAGTGAAGGATTTGTCAGACTGATTCAAGGCAGTGACTTGAGGGAAAATAATTCATTAACAAGCTAATTTACCAAGACTTGACAGATGGGGTCAGATCAGAAATAGAAATCAGAAATAGAAAAGAAACATTTGGAAGTATTTATTACAGTGGAAAAACATAAGCCTTGTGTTGCCTTCCACATTTATATTCATCTATACACATGTATTCTGGTAATTATACGTACATTAACAACCAAAGCGAAAACTCACTTCAATCATGACAACTCTCTGAACATTTTAGCATGGTGATGGATATGACAGTGTTAATGTATTTGGTCTTGGCGGAACAGATCTGCTACACTGCTGCTGCTGTTGGTTATTGCTGTATTTGTAGATTATTGCTGCTGCTGCAAGCAAGTACAGGAACTTGCTACTGCCAATGCATATGGCGATACGGTAGAAATATTTAGACGCAAAGTCGGCAACACCAAAGCTCCAAAAGTATCAAAAAATTTATTTTTTAAAAAGACTGTCGCATAGCATATGTGACGTTTCGAGCACGCAGGCTCTTCATCAGACAGATATGGCGATACGGTGCCATGAGTATTTAAGACATGCTGCTGCTGCAATAACCCTGTAGCAGATCTATACAGGTGGAGCTGGGGAAGGTGGAGAGTTTCAAAGAACTCTGAAAGCGCGCTGCAGGAATCTCTAGTGAATGCTAGCCAGCCATATAAATGCAAGGCAGTAAGCTCATTGGCTGCATATGCAGCATGAACCAATCAGCTTGTGCCAAGTCGTTTAACTCTGAATATGATCGGTTACGTTAACAACCAGTTGCATGCGCCCTCTAGAGTTTCATGACTGAACTATATATTTGTTCTGAATGAATCACAGTAATGATCAATGTTGTATTCAAAACAGCAAATTTTGCCTACCCCCAGTCAGGCCTGAACGTGTGCGTGTCTTTTGGGTTCTTCAGAACTAAAAGCAGAAATTCATGAATCTCCATCAGGAAGGCAGCAGCGCTGGACTTAGTTATAAAACTAGTGAGCTGGCTCTTGTGTTCCTCCTGCAGAGGGTGCTTGTACTCCTCACTGATGTCCTTAAAAGGGTCCTGAAGAGCAGATGAACAGGCATGATCACACACAAACTCACTGAAAGCTCAAAGCAGAATGCCGTGTTTACTGTGTTGAGTGTCTCACCCCCTTCAGACGCAGCAGGGTCTCTGATTTCAGAGAGCTGAGCAGCTGCCACAGCGCCACACAGTGTTTAAGACTGCACCGGCTGAATGCCTGCACACACAATTAGCACTCATTCACTAAAGCGTCACACAATGCCAGACTAATATTAGTGATCGGGTAAGGGTGGTCAATTAGTGAGACTGACGTTTATCTAGATTTTTAAATATTTCTCTTATGTTAATGCAATTATTTTTAGCTCTCCAGCCATCAACGCAGTGTAATGTTATGAACCATCGATCTCTGGTCATACTGATGTAGTACACAGAAAAAACATTTTAATTTTAATTGTGGAAACACGTCATCACAGTATAACATTGGAAATCTAGCATTTAAAAAAACAAAATAACGTACTTTCATAACACTATAATTTGTTATATTATCTTATTATTAAATGACAGAAAAATAGTACAAATACCAGTGTGTTAAAAGTGTGTTTCAGATACAACAGCTGAGGAAGTGACTGATTATGGCAGGCAGAAGAGAGAAAGATTTACAATCTCTCTATATTGTTTTCCTCTGTTGGAGATGATATCATGATTATTTTTTTCCTTTGCTGTTGAAGCAAAAAAATCATTTTCTATAATATCCTGTTCATCACTATAGAAGTTTAACCATCTATGACAACTTCCTTTTCTGAGAAGGATTTATTATGTTTTACTCTATTGAACGACTGTGTTTTTTAATTCAGTTGTGCACTACTTTTTATTTCTATCATGGATCTTTTTGTGCTTTTAAGGCATCACAGTAGTGCTGGGCGGTTGGTACAGCATTTCCTTGGTTGCCGTTGTAAACAATGCAGCACTGTGCTTCAACACTGCTTTAATATGCATTACAAAGAGGCAAGACGAAAAAAAAATACCATGTAAACTTTACTAAAGACAGTCAGAAAAACATTTATATATTATCCCCACCACCAATTCAGTATTTAAGATTTTCATCCAATAGTTCATGCATTATCCTCTTTGCAACAAATCATCTTCCTCGGAGTCAGAGCAGCGATCGCGGAAGAGAAAACAGCACTGGAAGCAGCTAATGCTAATCGGATTGCATAATTAAATGGACAATGAATAGAAATTATTCTAAAACAATATGAATTAAACGTGTAAATATATCAATATTCCTCCAAGTATGTGCACTTTTGGACTATAAGCCCTAATGGATGCTGTTCAGTGAAGTTAAAATGCTCTATTACCTGTTACATAAGCGCCACCTGCTGTCAGAGATTGAATTTGAATTTAGCCTGTCTGCAGTTTTGGTTTCGTGTAGATGTTTTATGTAGCATAATTTCACAAAGCTAAGGTCAGATCATTCTGATTTAGCTTTAAATTGAAATTATACAATCTAATTTAAATCAAAAACTTCTCATGGTACATGTAGCATCATTGTTTGGATCATGCTTAAAATGCAGTTTTTCTGCGTGTGCTACTTTCTTTTTACAATCTCTAGATGATAAAACATTGCATTCTGTCAGCAATGTAACACGGCAGTAACGTATAGAGACCTCGGCTTGTAACTATACTCTAATTACTATTTTAAAAATTATAACGTGTTAAATTACTCCGTTACTAAGTAGTGCGTTACTGCCCAACACTGCTAATGACACACAGTTTGTCCAGTGATGTTTTAACGTGCTGTGAATGTTGTACAACAATAATCTGGGGCCGCTTGCTGGAGTTAACAAGGATTCCCTCTCAATTCATGATGCGGTCTACATTGCTTAGGCACTTGTGCCAGTATGCCGGTTTTTTAAAAAGCACTAGTTCACAGTAGGTAGTTCAATCTGCATCTCAAGGCGTCTAACTGAACAAAAGAATGTTTGTAAACACCCTCTTAAGAGAAACATGTCTAATCATGATCTAACTATACAGGCCTTCAGTAAGGATGGCGTCCTAGTAACACTGCTCTGCACAGACAAATAATGAATAAAGTGTGTGTTCATGACCAACCTTGACCTTGTTGCCAGTCATCTGTAGCACCTCCTCCAAATAAGTGGCCAGCTGCATGTGTGGCTCTCCTCCGGTCATGGCGAGGAACCCCAGAGCCAGCTCGACTGTGGACAGCGCTTCACACACGTCACTGTAGGACTGCAGCTCCTTCACGAGGTTGTGTTGTGTGAGAGCCTGCAATGACTCCTTTGAATGCAAAATCACAATTTGGCTTGTGAAACTAGACAAATATATCTCTGCATTGTAAACGTGGATTTAATAAAACATAAAAAATATAAAAATGTATATTTAATGTATACATAACGTAAAGATACATTCATTAAGAATATTTTCACACTAAAGCTTTTCTTGTGGACCTTTATCTAACAAAATTGTAACCAATCCACCTTTTTCTTCAACGCGGAAGTAATTTCTTTATTCCCTGATAGAGGGAACGGTCAAACTGACATTAGGGAGCCCCAATCACCTCTGAGGTTTACAAAAACAGCCAATGAGAATTGGCGAATGAAATTTGCATGGCAAGCCACTGCTCCAAATATAACAATATACTGTATAAGATGGAGGCCTGCATTTCAGCAGGGTAGTTCAAGAGTGCCCTGTGTAAGCCGAAGCAAAAAAAAAATCTGAATGTGTGGATGCAGGCCGTCATCTTATATATCCATATGTCCAGGTAAGTGGGTTGCCATGCAAATTTCACTTGCCAATTCTTGCTGTTTTTGTAAAACTCAGAGGTGATTAGGGCTCCCAAGTAAGATCCGTAAAGTAGGTTCAACATCGATCGTGATCGACAGAAAGAGAAATTGCAGATTAAACATATATTACCCTAAAACAAATAATGCAACTTACTTGTGGAACTTTGCCCTTCACATCCTTAAATATGATCTCATAATTTCTGTCCTGTCTGTTCACCACTGTCGGAATACCCTACACAAATAAATATAAATATTTATCTATTGTAGTGGTTGTCAACTCCTAAAAAACATCTGTTTTAACTCTGAGCATGTATTTTCAACCCTTGTGATACTGTGACATACATTAAGGGTTATGAGCGGTTTGCCCTGTAGAAAGCGGGTGAGGATCTGCTGCTGAATCTTGGGCAGGTCGCACTCCATCAGTGTTTCTTGTCCGCGCTCCATGCTGTACTGGCAGTTGGACAGTATCAGAGGCAGCAGGTCCCGCTCATACTCATAACGGATCACATGCAGCTCCGTCAGGTCCGCTGGGCTTACCGTGTAGCTGGAGGACACAGGACAGAGAATGATATGTAAGGGATAATGCACATCCAGCCGGTTCTTATCGCAGAATAACCCCCGACAGGGTGATCAGGAGCCTGACGCGAAGCACTTGCACTAAACATTCCGGGCCGGAGCACGCTTGCATCATGTACGAGATAATGGAGAAAACCACTTTCACTAATAGACTGCCTAATAAATTTATCATTTATGCCATGCAGCGATTTTCACTTGCATGTATCAGAGGATTATTACGGAGACAGCTGACTTTAATGAAATAATTCGCTAACCCGATCTCATGAATGTGTGTATATAAAAACCACAAATTTTTATTTCTATTTGCCGTACTATTTATACGCATAAATTGACTTTGGCATGCATATGATACACAAAGGTTAGGGGTGTGGGGTAGGTGCCAAACACGTGTGTATCATATGCACGGCAAAGTCCATTTCTGCGTATAAATAGCATGCCAAATAGAAACCGAAAATCATGCTATTGATACACATTTTCATAAGACTCTATTTGCAGCTTTACTTGCAAACTACATTTCCTGTCCATCAATAATGTGAGAACCAGACCCGTTATAAACCTAAATATACTTGATTTAATTAAATTAATTGAAAAGTGTACTGTAGTAGTGGTATTAAAAGATGATGTTTGTGGTCGTAATGATGACAGTACCGCACACAAAATAGTAGCTGTTCCGTGCTCCAGCGCTGGAAGCAATCACACTACATGCATATCGTGTGCATGCATAACCCAACTGAACCGTGCTCTGGCCCACCTCTTCCAAGCAGGCCAGGGACGGCTAAACCAACCATCACACTAGTCAAATGAACCGGGCGTTTGGGGTCAAGCACGCTCGGGCACGGCTCAGATCGCCTAGTATGAGTACACTCTTGGTTTATGTGGTGGTGTTTTTTTTTTTTTTACCTTCCTATATATGTATACTTACATATTTCAATTTTCTGGTACATTTTTGCATGATCCAAAATTGGTACAGTGCATTTAGTGGATCAGGTCTCTATAATATTTGGACTAGCAAAAATGGGTAGATTATTCGGTTTTGTTGCAAATGTCAATGGATTCTAGTTTTACGCTGACATTGTGGAATGTTAGGGGGTTCTGTGATCTAGTTCAAATGAAACAAGTGATGAATAAAGTTAACTATCTCCATTTTAAAATACTGTTCCTGCAATAAACACATTTATTGCCAGACAAAGTCATTAAACTACGTAGAAGATGGCCAGGCCAGGCTGTAGCAGCATCATATGGGTCACATTCAAGAGGGTTAGCTGTGCCGATACATAAATCAGTCCCATTTCATGTAATAAAAACTATTTGTGATCCATCCGGTAGATATTTAATCATCACTGGTAGGATGCTCAATGAATATTGTAATCTTGTAAATGTTTATGGTCCGAATACAGATGAACCAAAATTTTTTCATAATCTCTTCTTAAACTTGTCCACTCTTCAAGGTAATTTAATAGCTGGTGGAGACTTTAATTGTACCTTAGATCCTAAAGTGGACCGTTCCACAGGTATTGACGCTTCACATTCACAGAGTAGGAATATAATTAATCAATACATAAAGAACCTTAATTTAACTGATATCTGGAGGTTTCAAATTCCAACAATGAAAGAATTTTCTTGCTACTCTTCATCTTTTCATACTTACTCCAGAATAGACCATTTTCTTATTTCAAAGAACCTGACTGATTGTATATCTAACTGTAAATATAGTAGTATCGTTTTATCTGATCATGCATCATTATCGCTGAAATATACTCTCAGAAATATAATTAAAAACCAATCTAGATGGCGTAGAAACATAAAATGGTTACATAACCCTGAATTTCTTGATTTTGTAGGAAACCAAATTGATATATTTTTTGTGTAATACAAATCAGACCTTCACCTCAATAAGATGGGAGGCATTTAAGGCCTATATTAGAGGACAAATGATCAGCTTTACTAGTAAACCACCTTAATGGAGGTAGTCAAATTTCTTTATTTTATAAACTAATCTCTACTAACTGCAGGGAAAATATGGAAAATAAATGTTTGGCATGGTGTCAAGATATAAATGAGAATATAACAGAAGATGAATGGCTGAGTATCTGCCTAAAGGCTCAAACACAGACAATTAATACGAGGTTCAAACTTCTGCAATACAAGTGGATTATGAGAGTATATGTCACGAATTCGGTCCATAGACTTCCGTTTATTCACCACCCTTTCCATTACATTGACTCTCGCACAACACAAACTGTTGCATAGCACCCTGGACTACATATCCCATCATTCTTTGCACGATTTGCACACTGCACTGATTGCACACAGCTGTTTCTAATCACCTCACTCACTATATAACACCCACTCTAACCACCTTTCTCTGCTGAGTATTATTTAGCCTGTACCCCTTTCCGAGTCTCCGTGTTTTGCCTTGCCTGTTTTTGCGGTTTCTGATCTTTGCCTGTTTTCTTGGATTTCTCCCTCTCGTCTTGTCCCTGTGATTCTGTCTGCTGATCGGTGACCTATGCTAGCCCTGGGACTATTCTTGTGTTTTGCCCGCCATATACCTGTTTGCCATTGTTTTGACCCTGCCTGTTATACCACGTCTCTTGAATAAAGCCTGCAGATGGATCCACACGTCTCACGTCTCGTCAGCCACGTTACAGAATACTCAGCCCCACAAGGATCCAGCAGCTATTCAAGTGGACATTGGCCAGGTATGGACACTGCAAGAATATTACTAGCCCTTAAACAAGGCCCGCGATCGCTGGAGAACCTTATTAGAGAATTTCTAGCCATAGCACATTATGCTGATCTACCAGACTGTCTTCTGATAGAGTTTTTCTGTGATGGCCTGAATCAACCTCTGCGATCTGAGCTTAGGCGCGAGGGTCCACGTTCATCACTCTCTCAGTTCATGGATTATGCTTTGTTGACTGTCGGATCTTTATTTACGATCGTCAGGAGTCTTATGTCCTGTCTGTTGCACCCAGATCGTCAGGGTCGGTATCCCAGTCTGGTATCTTGTGTGAGGGATACACCATTGGTGTCTGCACGCACAGCTGGTATCCCCAAACCCACTCACTCTAACCCTTCTGTTCATGAACTAATTCCCCTGTCTGAAGTGTTTCCCCTGATGGGGATCGCCTTTTGTTGTGTTTGGGCTGCATACACCTCCACAGCATCTATGAACTCTCTGCTCGTCCTGTTCCGGCCATGGAGGCTGTCAATGAACTCTCTGCCTGTTCTGTTCCGGCCAAGGAGGCCGCCTATGAACTCTCCGTCTGTCTTGTTCCGGCCAAGGAGGCTGTCTGTGAACAATCTGCCTGTTCTGTTCCGGCCAAGGAGGTCATCTGGG